AAAAAAATAATAATTTATAAATTATCAAGGGTTCATGAGGGAGGGGTGTTGGGGGGAGGGGGAGGAGCTGATACAAAGGGCTCAAGTAGAAAGAAAATGTTTTGAAAATAATGATGGCAACAAATGTAAAAATGTGCTTGACACCAAGGATGGATGTTTGGATTGCATAAAAAGCTGTGTGAGCTCCCAATTAAAAGATTTTTTAAAAAATAAATAAATAAAAAGAAAACGGTACATGCTTGATACTATGATCCACTGTCATCCTTCAGTTCAGAAAACAAACAACCCCATGACTCAATTATCAGCCCAAAACAGAGAGGTCTATATGCTGAGAATAACCCTATGGAAGTAAATGAGAATCAATGATTTGAGATTAAAAGGGCAGCATTTGCCACAGGAGAAACCTCATAAGGCAGGAAATGTTAGAAAAGGAGAATGAATGGAATGGAGTAACACAGGGAAGAAATGGAACAAGTGATATTACCTGTAGGGATTGTAATCAATAACTTGAAATAAAATATGTACAGGTTGTTGTGCAGAAAATGGATTTTGGGTAAATCTCTTAATTCATAATTTAAAGTTGAAAAAAGAATAAAAAAGGAAAAGCATTGTGTATCAAATATTCATTAGATGTAGTTTGTGCACAGATATATATCAAAATATAAACTGAATATCTGAAATTATGAATGCCTCATGTTCTCTGGATTTTTATGAATTTCTTATGCTTTCTACAATAAATATCTATTAGAGAAAAATTTAGTTCAAGCTAAACTTACTATTATACATTATACATACTTACGTCTTTGAGATGTCAGCCCAAATGTAATTAAAAGTCATGACCATGAGCAAAATTTAAATTTTCAACTTTAAATCACTTCTGGGATTAGAAAGTCTCTTAGAAGAAAACACACGAGGATGTAAATTGGCTCCACAGCCACAGTGGGTTCTCTGGCAGTGCTTAGAGCTCAAAGGTTGCAGAGAATTTACGTGGAAGACTGTTCACAGGTGATACAAGTTTATGACATGAAATTGGGGTGAAACCTGTATTGTTGGTCTGTCTCCATCACCACAGTCATCTGGAATTGAGGGATGTGGACTACAGGTTCTAGAGCACACTAATAAGTCGAACACAGGAAAGCTAAGAAGTCAGCAAATTTGAAGGAAACAGCCACTGAAACCCCAAATTGAACACAAGAAGTTAGTGAAGCACTGGGACTTCTGAAGAGAGATGTCCATACTCATGGACAACAGGCTTCCTTACTTGAAAGCTCAAGTCCAATCAAAGGAAAAAGTTACAGATCTTGCCTTGGTGCTTAAATGAGGTTGACTACAGCACAGGTGAGAAGAATTATTGTCAGAAAAGACAGCAGATATGGAAACAAGGGATTCTGAATATCTGATTTCATCAGAAATGTTTAGAATTAAACAATAGGAAAAAATTATGGGATGAATGATTGAAGTAAATGTCTTGGGTACTTAGAAACATCATCTTAAGTTAGTTCCTTCTCCTTACCATAGAAAACGAAACACTGTAATCCTATGAATTGAGATTACACTAAACTATATTGGTTTAGCTCAGTCCATCTGAGCCAAGAATGTTCAGATGTGTGAGGTTAATTCTCACAGTAACCTATTAAGAAGGTACTGTTACCTCATTTTACTGGACACATTATGCTCAGACATTTGACGTGTTCCATCCAGGTGACTTGCTCATCTAATAGTGCACAGAATGACTAATTAATGCTTGCCATCTGACTCCAGGACAACTACTCTTTCTGTTAAGTAATTCTGCATAAAGATTCCTTGCTAAAAATCAGAAGAAAATGATAATAGGCATACCTAAATGATTATAACATTCAAGGTAATAAACACAATTAACCAATACTAACAGTAAACCTATTGTTCATATAGAAATTACTTCAAGTTAAAATTTCAAAATTTCTGCTGTGTTTTCGCAAACAAGAGAATATAAAACAAAAACTAAGAACGTTCTCCTGACTGGAGCAAAAAGAGACAGGAAGTTCGTGCCTGTAGGCTCAGGATTGCTCACTGTCTGCTCCTTTTAGGGGTCATCAATACTATTCTGTTTCAATGAGAACTGGAGAGCCCCTGCAAGAGACGGCTCTAAGATGAACAACAAAGGTGTTTCATCATCAGTAGGCTAGAAGACACAGATTCAGTGCTGAAACCTCCCTCATGAGGAGCCCTTCCATAGTAAGTGGACACGGCTTGTTTCAAGAGGTTGCTGGGAATAAACCATGAGACTGGGTGAGTGCATTTTCTTTGCAATGACAAATTCCTCCCTCTTATTGGTAACATGAGATTTGGAGTGGTGATTGCTTCATGACCCATAATTCTCAAGCACAGTTTGCTCTCCTTCTGTAGGTCATGTAATGCTGAGGACCAGTCTAAGGACAGAGCCTCAGATGACAGACAGACAAAACTTGGAAAACCAAGAAAGTGAAATTTCATATATTGCATAAGGTCAAAGCAGAGGTAACAGAACGTGCGACCATCTGCTCATGGTCTCTCTCATATACCAGGTGTCTTCTCTTTCTTTCTTTTGAGTGTGTGGTGCGAGATGCCTTATTGTTGTGACATCAGAAGACTAGATGACATTAAGTTTGTCTATGTAATATGAAACTGGAGAATTCTCTCCACCTTCACGTCCATTGACTGCCTTGCTGCCTACCTGAAATTAAGAGAAAACCTGAGTCGAACTTCTGAAAGTCCTTGCCACCACTCCCTTCTAACAAACATTAGAAAATACTTGATGTTGATAGGCATAAGACATAGGCTACTTAAAAAAACAATATGGAAAACATGGTGCTGGAGGAGATCAAGAAAATCATCAAAGCCCCACAGACTTACAGCCCATAGAAATTCATAGCAAGCATTTCCAAATAGCTCCTTCCACTCATACACATACAATATTGTAATCACTCATGGGGTTATGAAACTTCCTTCTTTGTTTAACATGTTATCATGAGCTCTGTCTCTTGCCCTTACCTCTTCTTCATTTGTACTGGTGACAAAATATTCTCTCATATCCCATATCACCATATCCCATGCCAGCATGCCAGAGGAAAAAATATAGAAACCATTAAAGTAATGTCTAGAAATTGAAACATATACAAAATGTAATTTATTTTTCATATTATATCCAACAAATAGTTCTTTTGTAGGAAAAGCTAAATAATAATAATAATGCTAGCTTTGAATTTTGGGAGAGACTTCTATCGTCTAATCATATGAAATTATGAAACTACATCATTAGTTTGATACAGTCATTATCATCTTATTGATGTATCCCATCTTATGTCAAGAGTTACTATGATTTGCAACAGCACCAACAACAACCAAAAAAAGTGAGAGGTTATACAAATATATATATATTTGCATTTATGTGTGTGAATATGTGAGCACTTATGTGCATACAGATCAATGCATGTATGTGTGTACATTCATGTATATTCTTATATATTATAAACTACATATGTATAAAAAAAGAGTTACTATGACTTTTATGTAGAAAGGGTGCTGTACTTCATCAAATGCTTTTTGGCATTTAGTTAGATCATAGTGTAGTTCTTTTTGCTACCAATATGTTCTGTATATTGTATGAATGGATTTCTAAATATAAATCCATAATTTCATGTATGCATGAATACGTTACATTTAATAAAAAGTTCAGCTACATTTTGTAATCTTTGCATATATCTTCATAATTAGGATGGATATCCATAGTGTTATTCTATCTTTGGCAACTTTCAGGAAGAGTTCCTGTTCCTTTGACTCTGCATGTACATCCCATTTCATATTATCAATTGCTAAACATCACCTACTGGTAAAGTTAGCCCTACATCACTAAAAGTGCAATTCCACCCCAATTGTTTCATAATTATTCTCCTTATATGCCCAAACATAATTACACACTCATCATAAAAAGAATTGTGTCATATTTGGCTATACTGTCACTGTAGTTGCCAATATTCACTGGATTACAGAATCATCCACTGCATTACAGAATCAGAATGTTTCTCATTAATCTGATCTTCACTCCAGCTTCACACATTTTCTTTGGACTTTTTTTATGAATGGGATTAGTAGAAACAACAAAGGGTTTACATATTGGGTGGTCCCAGATGTCAGCCTTTGCAGCTTCATGTGAGATGGAGGAAGACAGAAGGGTAGAAATCTGTGAGAGGTAGAATGATGTGTGGGTAAGAGGGCTGAATTAAGATTTGGGAATCTGAATCTGGAACCAGACAGCAGGATAGTGAATTCTCACTTTAGCAAATCTGTCTGAAGTCGGGGTTTTTTTCTTTGAGTCAGTTAAGTAAGCATAAAAATGGTATATTTAATAGGATTATGTTATTAAAATGTGTACTGAACATTATATTATGCATTTTGTTGTATTACATTACATGGCATATAATAAAGTCTTTGATGCCATATTGAAACAACATTGTATGCCAGGCACCTCATAGATTTCATCTAGTTAAATTATCACAACACACTGTCAATGAGTTATTGTTCTCTTCCCATTTTACAATGACCTAGCTGTCACTAAGGAAAAGGATGTAATCTTATTAAATCAAAGACAGGTTATTGGCCTGGTATTGAATCTACATGAGAGTACAAATTAAAGACAATTTTATTACAATGTGGTTTTATTTTCAAAATACTTATTAGTAACACTGTATTTACATAAAATTCTTGACAGTAGTTTGGCCCTCAGTCATATTTTGTGGCAATAATGTTCCCAAGCTAAGTCAAAATTTCTCCTATAATATAGACCTAGGTAGTAGGCATGCCTTGTTGCTTCCAATTCATTGTAATATATTAACAATAATATGATAGTTTTCCCTTCCTGCTTCTAAGACTGTTCAAAAAAGAACACAAAATAATACAATAAAAAGTAGATTTTTAATCTACAATAAAATTTGAAAATGTCCTGAATCATGTCTTTATCTCAACTCTGCAGGTAACTTGGTCACATGGCGATGGGGAATCATTCTGCTGTGACTGAATTCTTTCTGGTGGGGCTTTCACAATACCCTGAGCTCCAGCTTTCTCTGTTCATACTCTGCCTCATCATGTACCTGATAATCCTTCTGGGAAACAGCTTCCTCATTATCATCAGCATCTTAGATTCCAGACTCCACACCCCTATGTACTTTTTCCTTGGGAACCTCTCATTCTTGGACATCTGTTATACATCATCATTCATTCCTTCAATGCTCATCACATTTAGATCTGAGAGAAAATCCATCTCTTTCATTGGCTGTGCACTACAAATGGTTATCTCACTTTCTCTAGGCTGCACAGAATGTGTCCTTCTTGCTATGATGGCCTATGACAGGTACGTGGCCATCTGCAACCCACTGAGATATGCCATCATCATGAACAGGATTCTCTGTGGGCACATGGCCACCTGGTCCTGGATCATAGGCTCTCTAATTGCCCTAGTGCAAACAACCATGACAATGGTGTTGCCTTTCTGTGGAAATAATGTCATTGACCATCTCACCTGTGAGATCCTGGCTCTCCTTAAACTTGTCTGCTCAGATATCACCATCAATGTGCTCATTATGACAGTGGGAGGTATTGTTGTATTGGTGCTTCCCCTGCTGTTAATTTTCATCTCTTATGTTTTTATTCTCTCCTCCATACTGAGAATTAATTCAGCTGAGGGCAGAAAGAAGGCCTTTTCTACCTGTTCGGCTCACCTGACTGTGG